TGCAATGTCTTATTACTATTCCCGCTGTTAAACCATGTACTTCTTCAAACTCAATCCATTTCGAAAATGCATCTACACTCAGAATAAACTTTTTTCCTTCCCATTCAAAAAAATCCAAATGCAATCTTATCCAGGGTCCTTTAACTTTTGGCCAATTACTACCCTTTTCCTTCCGGGGCATATCGGACCAGGAATTGCAAACCTCACAACTTTTACCCAAATCATTAATTTCTTCATTCATTCCTGGCCACCATACATATTCTCTTCCCCATTGCTTCATTTTTTCTATTCCTTGATGCCCCGCATGTAACATATTTAAAACCCTTTCCCTTAATCGTCATGGGACTATAACTCTATTTTCCCTCATTATACAATATCAATTATTACCAATTCAGTTTCTATATTTTTATATTTATTTCCTTTATCATTCCACGCTCTTTTACCTGTTAAAAATAATTTTAACAAACCTAATTCACTATCCTTCAGAGTATATTCCTGTATTTCTTTCCAAGTAGTTACCTTTAAAACCCCCCGTTAATATCCGAATTAATGTTTTTTTATCCATCTTATCCTCCATTATACAATTACTTTCTCCTCCCATACCTAATCTCGATAATACATCTGGTAAATGATTCTCTTTACCCTGTCTATATTTCAATTCCAAATCAAAGCTACCTACTAACAATAACCACCTCTGAAGCCTCGGCGACATCATCAGCTCCTTATTATTTTTCTTGAACAAATGTATCAAAGGCTTATGGTCAGTATACATTACAAATTTCTTTCCAATCAAATATTCCCTACATTTCGTCAAACCAAAAATAACTGCCAACGCTTCTTGCTCTATTACCGAATATCTTGTTTCTACTTCTCTAAATACTCTCGAGAAAAATATTACCGGTCTTTCTATACCTTCTATCAAATGTAATAAAGCTCCTCCCACTCCTTTATTAGAAGCATCAACAGCCATAATCACCTCCAATTCACTATTAAAACACACTAATACAGGCTCTTAACTAATTTCCGATTTCAATTTTTCAAATGCCAATTCTTGCTCATTTTTCCATTCAAAAGACACATTTTTCGGCAATAACTCATATAGGGAGCTGCTATCCCTGCAAAATCTTCAATAAATCTATGGTAATAATTCACCATTCCCATAAACGATTGAATTTCTGCCTTATTCACCGGCTTTCTCAAATTCGCAATACTCATCAAATTTTTATCCAACGGTTTTACCTCTATTCCATTTATTTTATGTCCCAAATATACAACTTCGGTAACGCCCATAACACTTTTTTCGCTACTTGCCCTCAATCCTTTAACCCTTATTCGTCCAAAAACCTCTTCCAACCTTCGATTATGTTGTTCTACCGTTATTCCAGTAATCAATACGTCATCCATATAATAAAAAACACCTTCTAACCCTTGAAACACCGCAGCCATTGTTCTTTGAAAAATCGGTGCCGAAACACTTAATCCAAATGGCAATCTACAAAACGTAAACAATCCTTTAAACGTCGTTATGGTTAACAATTTTCTAGTAGATTCTTTCATAGGTAACTGCAAATACGCACATGAAAAATCAATTTTTGAAAAATACTTCGCCCCTTTCAAATTCGCTAAAATTTCTTCAATTCTCGGTAACGGATACTTTACTTCCACAACCCAGGGATTTAAAGTTACTCTGAAATCCGCACAAATCCTTAACTTGCCATTCGCCTTCCTTATTGGAACTAATGGAGTCGCCCATTCGCTATATCCAATCGGACAAATTATCTCATCTCTTAACCATTTATCTAATTCTTTTTCCATTTCTGCTCTCCATTCAAAAGGCACTCTACGTACTGCACAATATTGTGGAATGTATCCTTGCTTCAAACGTATATCTACTTCATAATCTATTAAACGACCTAATTTTTCATCAAAAATATCTTTATATTTATTTACCAAATCCCTAACTGACTCCTCTAAAATTCCTAAATCATGACTTCCATCAATTTCTTCTGTTATTACACTCTCATCCTTTTTTTTTTACCAATTTCACCGGAAATTTTTGTGATACAGCTATTTTCTCCCTTTCTAAATTTGAATCCTTAAATATTTCCTCATCATTTATATAACTTTTTTTCCAATTTAAATTTTTCTGAAATTATTTTACTTTCCTCTTCCAAAATCTATTCCTTTCCACAAATTTCCACAAAATTGATAGTTCCTGTATTCACCAAATTATCATCGTTTTTTAAATCAATAAATTTCTCAAATTCCTGATTATTTATTATATTTACTTCACTATTTTTATCTGAAACATCCGGTTCCTCCTGACATATTTCATCCTTAAAAATTTGAACATTTTCCTGAACTTTTTCGAAATTACTTACCAAATATTTAATTTTATTCCACCTCATTTTTTTATTTTCTAAAATTTCCTCTTTCTTATTATCACTAAGTTCCATATCACTAATTATTATATTTTCAAATTCATCTTTTTGTTCTTCGAAATTACTTACTAAATTCTTAATCTTATCCCGTTTCATTATTTCATTCTCCAACATTTCCATTTTTCTATTATCACTAATTTCCTGATTATTAATCTTTACATTTTCAATTTTAATTTTCTCAAAAATCAAATCTTTTTCCATTTTATTTTCCCTCTTTTCGACACCCATTTCTTTTATAGAGATTTCCGGTATTCTAATTCTTTCATTATTTTTATTTTTTCCTCGAAACATATTTCAAAAATTATTTTTTAACCCAAACTTTGATATCCAAGACCATCTCATAATGGCACTAATTTTTTCTTTTAATATCCATAAATCCAAATATATTATTTCTTCATTTACCAAAACCGGTAAATTTACCCTTCCCACTACCATAACTACAGATCCATTTAATTGTTTTATTCTCATTTTATCTTTAATTATAATTTTATTTGGCCATAATTCCTGAAATTCATCATACCCCATAACCGAAATTGTTGCCCCTGTATCTAATAACATCCATATTTCTTTATTCTCTATATTAATTTTAACCCATGGGCATTTATCATAATTCCTACTATCCTTCAAATTAAAGATAGGTAAATTACATATTTGATTTTCTTGATTTAAATCCTCCAATATATTTTTACGAAACCCATAATTCTTATTATCATTTACTCCCTTTTCCATTTTTATTTCATTATCATTCAGTAAACCTGTAAACATAACTTTATGATCCAATATATTCTTTGATGACACTCCTCCTGTCTTTACTTTACTATAATACAGTCATTCAGTAAACCTGTAAACATAACTTTATGATCCAATATATTCTTTGATGACACTCCTCCTGATGTCTTTACTTTACTATCATACAGTCATTCTACTGTACAATCCTTCGCATAATGCCCAATATTTCTACATTTATAACAAGTTACATCCTCTCTGTTATTTCTTTTAAACATATTATTCTGTTAATTTCCTACATATTCTACCGCTGGAAACGCTTTAAAAATTCCCTGCTCATTTTTATAACAATTATCTTTATTATGCCCTAAATTCCCACAATTTTCACACGAAATCACATTATTTTTGTTCCCATTTACCAATTTATATGCCGGAACATAACATTCTTCCGCATTATGTCCTTTATTTCCACATCTTTTACATATTTTTGGTAATACTCCTGGATTTACTTTAGCATTACATTCTCTGCTTAAATGCCCAACTTTTCCACAATTATAACATTCTTTTTGACTTTTATAATTTTGTTCTATCCTTTTAATTACATTTTTCTGCTCCAATTTCTTTATTTTTATTTTTATTTCTGCTATTTCTATTTTCAGTATTTCTTCCTCTTTTCTCTTTAATTCAATTTTTTCTTTTTCTTCTTTTTTCTTTAATTCTATTTCCTCTATTTTCTTCTTTTCCGCTTCCCATTCTTCTCTCATATCTTTTTTCAATTTATCAATTTCTATTTCTCTCTTTCCTGTTTCATTCTTTTAATTTCATCATTTTCTTTTTTCCTATTTTCAATTTCCATTTCCTTTTTTTATTGTTCTATTCTTTAATTTCATCATTTTCTTTTTTTCTATTTTCAATTTCTATTTCCTTTTTTTCCTGCTCAATTAGCTTTAAACATCTTATTCTATTTGATTCTTTATTTCCATTTTTCTTATACCGTAAATACCCGCAATCCATAAAATTATTATCACAATTATACTCGCATATATTTCTCCCAGTGCTAACTCTTTAAATTCAAAATAATTTTTAGTGGTAATTATTTTTCTATTCCACATTTCTTTAAATTTTTAGCTATTTTTAACTATTTTTTTTTTTTAATTTCAATTTTTTATATTATAGTAAGCTTATTAGTAATTTTATTAAAAAATTTTTTATTATTTAAAAGTAAAACTATAAATTATAGCTATAATTATTAATATTACCAAAAAACAATTCATATAAATTTATTTTCGAATTTTTTTTTTATACTTTTAGGCCTTTAACCTATATAATGGTAGTCAATGGTTTTCCGCCTAACCTATTTACAAAGTAGGTATCTTTAAATACACGGCACCACTGTGGTAATGGCTCAATTACCAATTCTATTTTTTTACAACTATTTTATTTTTCTCTTCAATTCAAATAAAATATATCTTTTTTATATCCGAAGAAATACAAAAAAAAAATTCTTTTTATTCTTTTACATAATTTCTAAAATCAAAAAAAATTCTAAACTTTTACATAAAAATCGCGAATAATGTATATTAATACAAAATCAATAATATACTTCTTTTTTTTTAAATACCAAAATACAAAAAATCGATATATCTATTTATCAAAAATAAAAAATCGATATATAATTTTTCTTCTAATACAATTAATATTTAGTGAGTTATTGATATTATATTTTTAATACAGAATTTGATTGCAAGCTGACATTGTGAAAATATAATTTATATTTATCAATCCAATAATTAAAATAGTATTCATTTAATTAAAATTTAAATAGTCTTATTAATTTCTAAATAATAAAATTAAATCTATATATTACTTAATGGAATTATAAAAGAAATCATTCAAGGGGCAATCAAAAAAATTTATTTTTAATTCAAGGGGAAGGAGCCATTAAAAAATTTTTTTTACTTCAGGGGGATCGAGCCCCTGCGCCCCCCCCCCAGTGACGCCATTGACACCTAGTAATTCAACACAATCTATTATCTACCATTATATAATGTCATATCAAATTTTGACGTACGTTTCTGCTTTCTAAAATCTAGAGCATGTTGATGTATTTTGGAACGATTTGTATTTTTCGGTCCATAATTAATTCTCAGGTTTAATCGATTTATATGTAAATTCTCTATTTGAAATATGCATAGCTTACCTATTTTTTAGATAAAATTTTATCGCACACTGTCAAATCAATCTAAAATTATAAAAATTGTTGAGGTTGCACCTAGAGATGGCTTGCAAAATGAAAAAGTAATTTATTTTAAAATTTTTTCTTTGATATTGAAATATAATTTTAGTTTTATCTATAATTATCATTAATTATATTATAATTTTATCTGGCTTTAACATAAAAATATTAACTTTTACTTTATTTTAAATCAGATATAACAAATGCATAAAAAATAATTAGAATTGTTATTCTTCATAAATTATGTTCAAACATGATATTGGATTTTTTTTAAAAAAAAATTGGTATTGACTCACTAGTTTTTATTTTTATTGCTGAAATTGCATTTCAAAGTGAAAATAAGATATATATCAACAAAAAATGATAATTATTTAATATTTATCATAATTATATAATATTTTTGGATATCTGAAATTTCTTTCTAAAGACCTGGAGTCATAGGTGCATATTTATTAAGGATCAGTAAAAGTAGGCCAGACCTGAACTCAGTCTAGTTTAAATGGGCTTTAATGCAAGCTAGGTCTAATATTAAAAAAAATTGGACCAAGACTTAAATTTTGGAATAAATATTAATTTTATGAAATTATATTTTAATATATTTACAGGAAACTCAAATGCAAATAATTTTTTAACGTCATTTTTTAAATTAATAAAAAAAAATATGTGTATCATCGTTAATACAATATATTTAATTAAAAATTTAATAATTTTGGTTATATCTTTTTTTATTTTAATACAAAAAGGTCCATTTCAAATTATAATATAAAATTATTTCATAAAATATATAGAATCTATTAATTATTTAAATATACAAAATGCATTTTACAAAAATGTGGTTCATCTAATAAGTATAGATTTATAAAAGAAGCAAGGCATAATATTTGTTAATTTGTAGAATACTTTTTGTTATAATTAAAATAAATATTAAATTTTATTTATTTATAGGAAACTAGGCACCATATATATTTTATTTTGATTATAAAAATTAAAATCTTATAATACTTTTTTATAGAAATAAAAAAATATGATCTAATAAAAAAATAATAATATGGATACAATTTAAAAAAAAATCAAATAAAGAAGGGCCATATAAATGTATGCACCTAGGAAGGAATAAAATACTTGAAAATATGCTTGATGATAAAAGATCAAAAATTTGATTATAATGTAAAATTATTTATATTAAAATTACCATATTATAAATTTGGGTCAGATTGGGTGGTCAAATAATTTTTATCTTGATTTGGGGTACTTTTTGAATTGAATAAAAAAAAATAGTGATAGATTTAAAAAAAATTGAGGACTGAAAATGTATCAAGTATTCATCATTAAAATACAAACTTTAACTAGGTAGGGGTTGGTAGTATATAATATTAGATATGGATACCAAAAATAACTTTTCCCAAATCAATTTTATGTAATTCATTTTAATATTGTAACTTTTTATCTAGTTTTTTATAAAAATACTTTTTATAGCCTTAAATATATTTTGATTTGATATTTAATATCTTTGGTTATGATTTTTATTATTAAGATATCATTCATTTGATTGAGTATCTGGATTATTAACTTCTCCCTTTTAATTTATCATAAACAACAATGACCTGATTTAAATATTTGATAAAATGTAATATATTGACCAATATCTCTAATAATAATGAAAAAATAGTAATTGATTGTCTTTTATTCAAGTCTTGGTTCTAGTTCTTCTTGGTCGATTCTTAGTTTATTTTCCCCTCCCTGATAAATTTTAGAATTTTTTTATTCTAGCACAATTAATTAGACACTTTTTAATAAAAGAAATTATAATTATCTATTTTATTGAAGGAAAAATAATAATTTTTATATTAATGGTGTACGATACCACATTTTGGAGGCCTATCTTATCCAATATTGAATTGATATTGGCTGATTACCGATTCGATGTCATATCTAATTTTGTATTCTGTAAAAATACCAATGGTTTTAATTTTTAATACACTTTTTATTAGTATAACATCTATAATTTAAATCCATAACTTATGTCATTTAAATATTTTATAATGATCAGTTATAGTTTATATTCAATTTAATTGCAATTCTAAAAGTAAAAAATATTTTTATTGTTAAATCACTTTTATTTAATAAGTAATAACATTAATATATTGAAGATTTCTTTTTAATACCAAAATTTCTAATTAATCAGAGGTCAGGCGGCGATGGTAACTGTCAATATCATCAGCTTCACTAACTGAAGAGATTATGGCACACTTTTATAAACAGAATGCGCAAAAAAATAACAATAGGGCAGAATGTTTATTAATTAATTATTATTAAAAAAAATATACATAATGGATTTCGATTTTATTTATAAAAATAAATGATTTTAGATATAACTTTTTTAAAATTTTATAGCATTTTATTTTTGTTAAAGACGCCATTTTATATCGGATCGGAAAATTTTATAATATTGGCCAATAATCGATATTTAAAATGGATGAAATATTGGCCCGATCCGAAAAAAAATATCGGTACGTCCCTATTTTATGTTTTAAAATTCTATTATTTTCCTATTTTTTTATTAAAGATTTGTTATTTTTTTAAAATCAAATCGCTTCTACCACTCAGAAAATTCTTTCTTCAGCAGATAAAATAAAATTTATTGATAAATTATCTGACACCGGTTTGAAATATATTGAAGCAACAAGCTTTGTTTCAGCAGAATGGATTCCACAGTTGGCTGATGGGTTTGAAGTGATGAGGGGAATTAATCGACATGAGGGCATAATCTACTCAGCACTTGTACCAAATATGACAGGATTTAAAAAAGCGGTTTGATAATAATAATTTTTACTTTTTATGATATTGTAATTAAACAAATTTAGATAAGGAATTTAAAAGGTTTATTTCATATGCCATAAATTTTATATTTAAAATGAGAAATGGTAGATTACATAGGATACAATCAAGGTTGCCAGATTCATTTAAATAAAAAGCAGGAGAATTTAACCATAATATTAATTTTTTTAATAATATCCTTGTCTGATGGGAAAAGAACTGATAGGCTAACAAACATTTGGTTAAGAGGAAAACACCTTATTAGGAATTTCTTTTGTGTTTCCCATTTTTAACCAAAACATTGATCCATTACAACTGAAAGGTCAAAATTTAGGAAGTACCACGACTTTCTAATTTTTACATTATCCCAATATTAATTTCTACCAATTGGTCCCTAGGCCCCATAGGCTTTCATTTTTTAAATTAGGTAAAAAAATTTCTAAAATTAATGGTAATCATGGATCCTCTTTTTGTTACAATTAACTCAAATTGCCATGTTCTGAGGCAACTATCTTAGTTTCCTCGGATCTCAATGAGAGCCTTTTTTGCTACTCCCTCCTCCCTCTTATAAGTTTTTATTAATATACAGTTCTTATATTTGTCTTTTAAATTTTTTTTTACATCTTATCTTAATATAGTTTTATATTATTCTATTTTTTAATATAAATATAAACATTTTTAAAAAATAAACAAAAAAATTCAAAATATTGAAAAATGGTAAGATTATGGTTTGTGAGCCATAATTAACATTGGTCATCTTTTATTTATTTATTTGTCATAGGATTGGTTGAATTTTATCTTTTTTAAATATTTTTTTGTTGAATGATATTTTTATTGTCAAAATCCATTGGTTGTATAATTTATACATATATTTTTTGTTGAATGATATTTTTTATAGAAAATTATTGGAAAATATATAGCAAATCAAAAATATCGCATTATAATTCTATATATTTATATAGGAAATACTTGAATAATATCTTCTAAAATATTTTTAAAGATATTCAATCTATATTTCCTCTCTTCTTTAAATAAATATATGTTGCTATATTATCTTCCATAATAAGAGCCAGTATCAATATTACTAATTATTTCCTAAACATATTTTAAAAAATTAATTAAAAATTCTTACCTTTAAGTAGAAATAAACAAAAAGATAAAGGTTAGAAATTTTTGGAATTTCTAATTTCAAATTATAGAATATAGTATCCTTCCAGACATATGTTCTTTTATAAAATTGCCGGTTGGTACAACTATAAATTTTATGTGATGAATCTATATAAAATTGCAACAGAACCTCAATTGAAACATGGTTTAGATAAATAAATATAATCATTTATTTTCACTCCTAAAAAGATAAATGAAAATAGAAAAAATTAGAATTCATAAAAGTATGTGGAAAATATATCTTAATTAGAATTTGCAAGGCATATTTATAATCCATAAAGATTTTTTTACCCAATTTGCCCTTTTTAATTTTATCCTATCCATCTTTTATTTTCAATAAATGTTGACCAAAATATATGCTTGAAATTTTATAACGTTTTAGTCGACTAATTAGTCGTTTTAGTCGACTAAATTAGTCGACCAAATTAGTCCACTAATAGACTAATTTAGTCGCTAAAGTTTTTAGTCGATTTCGATGAGAACTCGACTAATTAACAACACTAATTGGGTTATAAATTAGATTGAGTGATAGGGTCAGGAGATGGAAGATTAAAATTGTTGCAATTGAACCCAGGACAATCTACACAGGTTAAAAAGTATGGAGGATATTCCTGTGGTAGCAAAGGGTAAGACATTTTTTTGTTGTCCTCTAAGATAGTGTAGTAGAGTATTATAAATATATGTCGTCTTACCTGATCCACCAGGAGCATCTATATAGAAAAATCTGGTAGTAATTGAGGTATCGCAATAGCCTGGATACGCTGTAAAACATTAACTCCTTACATAAAGATTTTATGAAAAATATACGTTCACCATCGCAAAATATGGTGGTAAAACTTTTTTTTATCTCAACCACAATATGGGAACTTTGCAAATAGTTTAAAATACTTATTTATCAATATCTTCCCATGCCAGAAAATTAACCTTCCTCACTAATCCTAAGACTTATTATAAATTAGATTTAACAAATAAATTTAAATTATATTTAGCCAATTGAAAAATAAACATTTATCTCATATTACCACTCCAAAATATGCCAGTATATAAATTTTATCTCAAACAATATTTGAACTCTGGAAATGACATAAAATACCAATTTATCAATATCTACCTACATTTTTAAATATTCTGTATCTTAAGAATCTCAAATAAATAAATAAAGTTTGCTTAGTTAATAAAGAAAATAATTAAACATCTGTTTAATTACTGTCTTTTATATGCTGGGGCCTTTGGCAGATATACTATTATGTCCTGTTGTAATCATTTTGTTATTAATATCAACATGTGAAATGCAGATTGTATGGGTCAGTTGAGACTTTAAAATTATTTTCTGATAACCAGAGGTAAGCTCAAACATGATTTAAATCTTGTGCCAATCTGATGGTGATTTATTCTGTAATAATATCTATAAAAATTAAACATCTTTTTAATTACTGTCTCCTATATTTTGAGGCCTTTGGCAGATGCACTATTATGTCCTATTGTTTTGTTACGATTTTTTTAATTAAAATAAAAATGGTTGATTTTAAAATTAAATAAAATAAATAACTATAAACCAATAAAATAAGAGCTTAATAAGCCAATAAAAATAAAGATTAATAAGCCAATAAAAATAAAATTTCATAACAATAACATATATAAGAAAGATTATATTACAAAATTAAATATAGAAGGTGGCTGAGTGGGAAGAACGTTTGCCTTTAAAACGTTAAGGCATGGGTTCGAATCCCGTTATGTACAAAAAATTTTCTTAAAATTTAACATTAGAGAGATATAGTCTCCATCGATTTATTTAACATTAAGAAGATAGGAAAGTTGATAGGAAAAATAAATTTAACATTAAGAAGATAGGAAAGTTGATAAGAAAAATAAAAATTAACATTAAGGATATACGAAAACGTTCATTTCTTGATTACGGTGATTATAAAAATAATATAAAAAAATTAATAGTCAATAATTTTATAATAAAACAATCATTCAACAAAAAAAATTTGAAAAAATAAATAAATAAAAATTAACCAATCCTATGACAAATAAAAAAATAAAAAATAACCATTGTTAATTATGTCTTATAAACCATAATCTTATCGAAAAAATTACTATATATTTATTCTCATATAATATTTTAGAAGATTTTATGGCATAATTAAATTTTAATTTTTTGTATATTCTTTAAAACCTTACAAGTAGGGGAGACCAGGGCTAGTCGATGCAATTTTTGTCAAAATATCATAGCTCCGAAAATAATGATCGTATAAGATCTTGCAAATACCAATCGATACCTTAAACACTTAGCTATAAATGTATACTGTTATATTTTTAACCCGTTACTGGTTAACGGTGCATATATGCACCACCTCCTATATACCTTATTTTAACATAGTAGTTTTTTTTTTAAAAATAATAAAAAAGATTTTTATATAGTTCAGACATTGTACTTCAAAACTGGAAAAGAAAAATATGAAAAAAATATTTTTTTATGCCCCTAAGAAACCCTCAAACTTTGCGAATTTATGAGGTCTAAAATGCAAAATTTTCTAAGTGATCTCACGAGCATATTATAAAATTATTTCGATGAAAACTAGTGTGTATATATTCTGTATAGATATATCAATATTTATCAATCATTTTTGAATTTTTAAATAATTAATATTTTAGTAGGTAACCACATAAAGTTGACTGGTGCATATATGCACCGTTAACCATCTAGCAGTATATATTATTTAAAAAAATTCAAACAAATGAAATTTAACATAATGAATTATAATTTTTTATATTATACTTAAAACCACTACCGTCACTAAGGGTGGGAAGGGGAGGGGTGGGTGGCTCGAGCCCCTTAAGAATTTTAAAAAAAAATTTTATACCCAAAAATGACCTTTTGAAAATAATTTAAAAAAATTTTTTTCCCCTGAGATTAAATCGAATAATATATTGTTCCTATTATAATTTTTTATCCCGATCAAATTATATGAAATTATTAGGTTCATAAATATTCAAAAGTTTAAAATTATTTTTAGCCTCTTCCTTTCTGAAGATTTTATTTTATTTATATAAAATATTATGCACCTGTTTTGTCAATTCAATCAAAATTATCAAAATAATAGATGACTAATAAAAAAATCAAGATTCTACGAAAATAATTTGTCTAGATATTTAATTTTTAATAAATTTTTTTAATGAAACGTTTTCTAACAATTGAACAAGCGCTTGCTCAACTTTTTGAAGAGGAACCAATTGAAGAAAGAGATATGGTTATAATTCCGCCAAACCCCTCTGCAGTTAGTGATGAAGAAGATTTCGATGAAAATGACTTAACAAATGTCGGAGTTTTGCCTTCAGATACAGCTGGAGAATTGGAGATTCATAATTCAGTTGATGACGACCTTCCAGAACCATATTCTACAAGAAGCTATTCTCGAATTTCTCACAATTTAAAATGGAGAAAAACGGATGCAATATATTCTTCAAGCCCTTTCAATGGAGAAAAGGAAGATGTAATAAAACTTGAAAATGATTTACATGGTAAAAGTCCATCAGATATATTTTGTTTAATTTTCGACGAAGACTTATATTCCCTAATTGTAGAACAAAGTAATATTTATGCTAAACAAATGAATAGACCTAACATATGCATAACCATCCAAGATATTCAGAGATTTATTGGAATTCTATTATTTACTGGATATCATTCTCTCCCACAAGAAAGAATGTACTGGTCTAATGACAGCGATATTTCTATTCCAATAATCCGGGATATAATGACCCAATTACAATTTCGAAATTTGAAATATAATATCCATTTGGCAGACAATACTAAAATAGAT